CTTATTTATTAAAAATTTAATTTATTTATTACAATCTGTCTTAAAGGTCATTTATAATAGTGTTCAGAGATCACATTCACACAATAAAATAAACAAATTAAATGACATATATAAAGTTTGTATCACCATTGTTTCATTCTGACCGATACGGATAAAAAAAAATAACGTCAAAGATAAGGACATTTATAGCTTAAGGGCAATAAAAGTTGATATCGAGTAATTTCATTAGAATAATATTTTTATTGAGAAATCATACCACGGTCTATCAATAACGTTCCTGGAAAAGACATATTCTTTAAGGATTGATGACTGAGACTCCGTTTTAATACCGAGAACCAATTCATAAAAATAACTAATCATGAATGATTATTTCTGATTGATGTAAGTCGAGACAGGACGCTTGCAACTAAAACTTTTGTTAAAAGAAATTTGACTTTTATTTATATTTCTCTAGGTCTTTATCAACTAAAAAAGAAGTAATTGGGCATTATGGATCTAAAATATCGCTAACTAGGGTGAATATTCGAGCCTCCCCACGATCTTCCATTATTCTTCTACAAATAAAACACCCTGATGAAAAGCCACTTAAAAATCAAATTACACACTAAATACTTCCATTGTGCTTTAAGATAATGGTTACAAAGGCCATACATCTTGTGCAAACCACACACTCACTTCCTCCTTCCTTATATAGAAAGAATTTCTCGGTTTAGAAAGCCTACGAGATGAGATGATTACATAAAAATAGCGTTTATAATTTTTGCTTATAGTTTTTTTTTTTATTTCAGGTATCAGCTGAGTTATGCAACCTAATTCTGTAACGCTATGCGCTCGTAGCTAATTAAATTAGAAAAAAATAGATCTAAATTCACTAAACCAAAAATAGCATAGAAAATATGTTATAGATATTTTCCAACTTTCAGATATAAGCACTTTCTTACTCTTCATACCGATAATTTAATTTTTATTTGTAAATGTGGATTTACAAATACTATTCTATCTTTTTGAAGTCATATTTTTCTTAATCAATTTATGATTTTAGTACAATCGATTCGAAAAAAAAATTAAATTAAACTACCGTCAAATTTGAATTACAGTCTAAATTTCTAAAAACCTCAAAAAATAGCAACAATTATGATAATGGGAGTAAAACTTTTGATTATGCAAAACCTTATTTTGAATTTTATCTCTGATGAAAGCATTTCTAGTGGCCTTTTAACAGCTAAACAAAGTTAAATTCTGATTTTAAAATTATGGCTAATTTGCGATTTTTTTATCACCAGATTATAATACAGATTATCCACTTTTAGCAAATTTTCTAGTTTAATTAGTTTAAGTCTACATTAAATAAGTTGAGGTTTCTTAATAAATAATTCCAAATTATTTATTATATATAACCTCGTATATATTAATTATATAACCTCGAGTTGTATACAAATTTTATTTTATATTCTGTCATTTTTATATTGTAAAAGTATTTTCGGTAAAAATAAGAACAATAAATTATTAAAAAGCTTTAATAATAATAAATAATAGCGTGTGTTGTTAAATTAATTACAACGATACACTTTCTATTTATAGAAAAAGTTATAAAAAATCCTATTCATGATTTTGGATTCATGAGCATTTTGGTTCATGTATATATATATATATATATATATATATATATATATATATATATATATATATATATAATAAACATGAATTTACAATAATTAGCTATGACCTAATTGAATGCAATATTGTAATATCGGCTCTAGAGCGAGTTAACGCACCTGCAATAATTATGTCATGTATTCAAATCCCGTTCGTGAGATTTATATTAAAAAAAAAGGTAAAAAATAAAAACAATTAATAATAAATTAAAATTAATAAGTATGGGTCCACTCGATCGCTTAGACCACACCGGCACGGGTTCGATTGCCGCATGGGCACGCTAACGTCCCCGCTCAGGGATTCAGAAAAGTGCGCGATGAAGAGGGAATTATTTGCGATCGCATCCGGTTAGTAAAACCACGTGCTTTCTGGATATTTTGAAGATGAGGAACAAACGATCACAGCTGTCGCCAATAAAAGACCCAAAAAGCTGCTAGAAGATTCATGGCGGAGGTCGCTAGTCAAGAGGCGTAAGAAAAAAACATAAAACAAAATTAATTTATTCCGAAACATACCAGATCAAAGAAAAAAAAATTAAAACATTTATTATTATTTACTTTTTAACTTCCACATCTCAGGAATAATAACTACCAGCGATGTGATGTCAGAAAGAAAAATATCGACTCTAACGGGTGTTATCAGACATATTGGTTGTGACCATGTCTTGAATCAGTGAGTTAGTATGTCCATGTAAATTATTATGACATCTTTTGTAGTGTATTCTTATGTTGGATGATGTGTTCGTGTATGATTGTAATGACTTTTCGCTGTTATTTCTATTGAAAAGGGGTGTTAGAATATAAAATAACATTAAATTAATATAAAATATATTTATAAAACTAGATCTCTGATCGTACCTTCCGAGTTCGCTGCGGTACTATATTTTCGTATTTCTATTGTTTTGAGGCTGGTGTTCCTCTAGGTAGCGTTTTGGGTCCCGTCCTTTACATCCTCTTTACCGCCAATATCCCTGTCCATCCCGATATCTTCTTGGCAACATTTGCTGATGACACCTCCATTCGATCATCCGACTCAGATCCTGATATAGCATCCTTAAACCTTCAAAGGCACTTCTCCCTGATTAAGAACTGGTGTAATAAATGGCGTATTAAAGTAAACGAATCCAAATGCCAACACATCACCTTCACGCTCCGACGCAGTTCCTGCCCACCAGTACACTTTAATTCCATCTAGCTTCCTTTCTCAGACACAGTCCGATACCTTGGCTTTCTCCGAGACAGACGACTAACTTGGAACCCTCATACTAAACTAAAAAGACAGGAACTTAACTGACGATACGGCCAACTATACACACTACTAATTAGAAAATCTAAACTTTCTATTGAAAATAAAATACTTATCTACAAGACAATATTGCAACCTACTTGGACTTACGAACTTTAACTGTAGGGAACAGCAAAATTTTCTATCATCAAGCGCATCCAATCCAAATTCCTTCGAACAATAGTCGATGCTCCTTTCTATGTAACCAACAAAACCCTACATCATGACCTCAACATCCCATTTGTCCTAGACCTTATCTCAGAAAAAATCTGCAAATTTCATCAGAACCTTACCTGTCATCCGAATACCTTTGCACTATCCCAATCCAGCACCACCCATCCCTATAGTCATCCAAAAACTGCAGTAAAACGGCAGTGGCGCCGCGACCTTTTATAGTTTGTGAATATTGGAGTTCTGGCAATAGCCAGATTCTCCACTCACCACATGGGTGTATGTGGCTAAAACACTCTCGCTCAATTTCCATTGGGTTTAGCCCTAATGACGCGGGTGAGAGAGAAGTGCAGGGATCTCCTGGAGTCATGCTTTTCCCTCCACAGTTGGAGAGACAAGTCTGACTCGGAGTTTTCTCGCCTGATCGTGAATAGTGTATATAGGTATGTATGTGTTCTTTTTTATTGATTTATTTTTAGGTTATTTTATTCTTATTTATTGTATATATATTATTTTGCTGTATAATTTATTTTATTCATTGTACATAGAGTGTGAACGTGATCTCTGAACACTATTATAAATGTCCTTTGAGACAGATTGTAATATTTATCAATAAACATGTTAAAAAACAAAACAAAAAAACGAGAGGCCAACCTGAAGTTATTCTGCAACGAACCTCAACTAAATCGAAATGACTTGAAAGTATATTAATGAAAGAAGATTTTTCTAAAAGGACGGTTTACATGGAGAATTAAATAAACTGTCGGATTAATCCATCATTTTATCAAAACAGAAATTAGCGTTCCTTAGCTGCATAAAAGCCCCTTTAAATGGTTGTAACTAAGACTAATTCAACTTGAGACTTAAGGAAATTTTGTCTAATTTGCTATGAAACAATTCATAACTACATTTTTTTTAAATTGAATATTAATACATTCTGTCGCTTTGAAGAACATTAATATTATAGCTACATTAACCATTCACATAATATGTACATACGAATAATAACTAAAATAGAGATAATAAAAATAAAATAAGAAAATTAATATACATATGTACGAAAAATGAAATAATAGATAGAATCAAAAGTACCTAAATTAAACTTCTTATTCAACAAAAAATATTACTTACTAAAAAAAAAACCACCAAATCAGACCATGTTCAGTTCATAAAACATTTTGTAGCTCCTGAGTTCAACTATTAACTATTTAAATATTTCGCTTTACTTACGGTACACATTTAAGTACTTGTGAGCGAAGCGGCCTCTTTGGACTGCTATCTGCAGTTATCTTGTTATTTAAAGTGTTGTTGTTGTTATTTATATTTCTTATTATTAAATTACTATATTATTATTATATTTATATTTCTTATTAGTGTATATATATACATAACAGCAGACAAAACAGAGGCAACGCCAAAAATATTTATGTTTCTTATTATACGAGAGTCTAATATCATATGAAGATAGGGATTATCAGTGCCTTATAACAATTATCAGTATTCAGGTTATAAAACATTTAATAATAAGAAATATAAATAACAACAACAACACTTTAAATAACAAGATAATTGCAGATAGCAGATAGTCTATAGAGATAGTCTATAGAGCCCGCGTCACTCACAAGTACCCACACTTATAATACAGCTTTTTTATCTTTATAGTCATGTTACAAAACCAATTTGTATTTATTATGAACAAATCTCAGATATTCTTCAAATACTTACAAGATGTGATAAAGAGGCAAGGGATCATTCGGGATCGTTTCCCCTCCTCATCGAGTGAATTAATAGGCCAGCATGAGCTCGTAAAGTCGGCAATGCACGCTGAGCATACAAATCATCTGGCCTCAACGACGATTTAACGACCCTTCGACAGAAAACTGCTGGTGATGCTGGTAGGCGTTCATGTAAATTTTTTCTTCGTCGTGAGTACTAAGGACTATTTCCAAGAACTTTATTGCTAGTAAATCGGGTAGGTAGTGTATCTGCAGTAAAGTTTAATGGGACGTTTTTTAATTTTAAATGTAAAAAGAGGTCGGTCTTAATGAACTTGAAGTCATTACAGATCCAAATCAAAGGCTAAAATTGTATACATTTAGTGGAGAGAAGGGATGGAAGGGGGTGGGCTTCATAAAAAAATTGTAATATTTATATATTTTATCGGACATATACCTTGTTTGATTTATATATTAGTGTTGAAGTTGTGTTTATAATTTAATGTAATTAGATTCAGGATAGTTGATAGTCGGATACCCAGTTGCCCTGTAATCTGGTTAAATATAACTGCAAGAAGATGCGGACGACAAGTTGTAGCCTTCACCTTGGTAAATTGTTCTTCACGTGGCTGATGGAATCATTGACAGTCATACTCATTTATAAAATGATTTTATTGAGCAAATTATTTTTTTATAATTCACAAAATAATCGTATGAAAATGAATACCAAAGACTCCACAGAAGTTTTTTTTCTCTTAATTATACAGCTTTCCTCAACTAAACTCCTGCATCAGCAGGATCCTTCATATCTGCCGGTCCATCGTATCCTCCTACGACAGTCTTTTACCAGCCATACTCTCCACCATTATATCCTTCCATCTAACTGGGGTCTTCCTCTCCTTCTTCTACCCTCTGTCTCCCAATCCATAATTATGTTTGGAATCAGCCATTCGTCTCACATGGCCATACCATCTGAGTCTCTAGGATTTGTGGTGACCATCTTTTTCTACGACCTCTAGGATATTTTGTTCTATTTTCAATCTCTTCCAATATAACTGAATAGTTTAATTTGAGGTATCACATTATATAAAACTATATTTTCAATTTCTTTTTTTTTTTCTCCTCTACTTTGGCCTTGGGTTAATTCTGATCACCGTAAGGATGTATGTACATCCATATACACTTAAACATCTTGCCAGATTGTTAAGGAAATCATTGTCAAGGAAGCATCGACTAATATTTAAACTTGGTGTAATAGTCGGCTCCCTGCGACACTCCGATATAAACTCAAGACTTTTGGATGTTGACATGCACCGATACATGGGATGAACTCTATTAACCAGGAGCCGTAATGTATAGTAACAGGACCCGAATATTAAACCAAGTTTAAATATTCGTAGATGTCAATTTCCTACCAATCTAACAAGATATATAAGTAGATATGGGAGTCCATTCTAGAATGGATAAAATATCCCGATTTCTGAAGTCGGTCTTTTTTTTTAAATTACAATATTTTTTTAATTTGTTGTTAAAGTTGAGGTTGAGTATTTTAATGTGTATGATTATTTTAAACTAAGACATTAGCTTGGTTCGGTGGATTTTAAATACTTTTTTTTCAATCTTAGAAAAACATTCCAAAGTTTACAGATAGTAAGAAAATTTCATTCTATTTCCTTAAAAACATGTGATTTACGTTAAGTAATATTACTTTAAAAAAAAATTATTTACAATTTTTTCGTAGCTATCCGTTATCTTTTACAATTTTCTGTATTAGATATTGTTTTATCTAAAATTCTCCGCTTTCCAACGATATATTATACGTATGCCTTCTGACTAGTATTTCCGGAGATTCATTTTCGGCCTGGATAAGCATTTTTATTTTTTCCTCCTTTATTCAACTATCAAAATCTTTCAAAAGTTTTATTTAGCATTTTTCATAACTTCAATTAATGTGAAATGATTAGTTATTTAAAATAAACCATATTGAAGGTACTTTAGAGGAAGACGTATATGAACATTGGGCATTTAAGTCCTTTAAAGTGACATCAATGTAGATATTAAAGAACTGATTGGTATTTAAGACCACTTCATTATACAATGATACACCGAGTTTAATCAAAATCGTTAGAGCCGCTTTTAAGAAAATTGTAAAAATGCAGTTTTATATCCTCTTCAGTCTCCCTTCCTAACTACACCCTAATCCGCCACGACCGGGACAGCCGGACTGGCGGAGGTGTAGCTCTGTACGTTCATACCAGCCTAAAGACTCGAATTCTCCATCGTTCTTCTCCAACCGATCAGCCACAAGTCGAGTTCTTGATCGTCGAAATCTCCTGTAACACCTCTCATCTCCTCTATTCCGTGGTATATCGTCCTCCTCTTGTTCCGTTTGATCCGTCTTTCGAAGCTTCCCTCTTTAACTTTGTGCCCCTTTATTCCAAAATTATCATTTCCGGTGACTTAAACACCAATTTCCTCTCCGACTCCAGCGACAAATCATACCTAGAAAACCTTTTTTTCTCCCTTCATCTTTTTATCGTTCCTTTTTCTGCTACGCATCACACCGCTAGGTCCGACACTTGGTTGGACCTGTACATTATTGATTCCGCTCAAAACCTCCTTTCCTCTTCCCAATTACCAGTTTCCTTTTTATCGTCGCAAGACCTAATCCAAATATCCTATAATATCCAAACCCCTCCGATCCTACCGAGAACGGTAACTTTCCGGAACCTTAATGGCCTTACTCGGGAAAAAATCTTACCTTCCCTAGAATCCCTAGATTGGAATATAATATATTCCTGTACCTCAATTGATTCCATGGTTGACATTCTCACCTCCAATCTTATTAATATCCTTGATGACCATGCCCCTCTCAAAACCTCCACCTTTCGTCGCCTTCCTGCTCCCTGGATGTGTCAGAAAATTAAGGATCTTCAGAAGAGGCGTGATGCAGCCCGTAGACGCTTTAGACGCACTAGATTGCCTGAGGACTATCAAGCGTTCAGGGCGCTCCGCAACCTGACACAAACCACAATCCGACGAGCCAAATCTACCTATTTCCATGAAGCCCTTTCCTCAGCTCCTGATTCCAAATCCAAATGGCTACTCCTTCGTAAATTCTCTCTTTGTGATCCTACCAGATCTGCTCCCTCTACAGTGCCTACAGTTTCACCAAATGACTTAAATTCTTATTTTATATCTGCTTCCTCTTCAACTCCTTCATTTCCCCCTTCCTTCTTTCCTCCTGAAACATCTTTCAATGACGCCGATTTTTGTTTTTCAGATATTTCTCCCACAGACCTCATATCAACCGTGATGAAATCACACTCTAATTCTATTGGTCCAGACGGCATTCCCGTCAAATTAATTAAATTATGCCTCCCTGAAATCCTTCCGGTACTCCTTTTCATCTACAATTTTTCCCTTCAAAATTCAGTATTCCCTTCCTTGTGGAAAAAAGCCACAGTCCGTCCTTTAAAGATTTCCCCCTGAAGATTTCCGGCCAATCTCAATCCTTTCTAACCTTTCCAAACCCCTGGAGAGAATTGTGCAATCCCAAGTTTCCAACTTCCTTGAACAGTCCAATAAACTTGACCTTTACCAATCTGGTTTCCGACCAGGTTATTCCACACAATCCGCCCTAATCAAAATCATTAATGATGTTCAGTCCGCCATTGATGACAAAAAACTAACTGTCCTTATACTCATTGACTTTTCCAAAGCCTTTGATTCCATCAACCATTCCATTCTCTTTTCCAAATTAAAATCATTATCCTTTTCCCATAGTTCTATCCTATGATTTCAATCTTTCCTCTCCCAACGCTCACAAGCTGTCGCTATTCCTAATCAACCATTGTCTTCCTATCTTACTTTGTCCGCAGGAGTGGCCCAGGGCTCTAGCATATCTCCTCTCCTTTTTAGTTCTTATATCAATGACATCCATAATTCAATCCTTCACTGCTCCCATCACCTTTACGCCGATGACTCCCAAATCTACCTTTCCTTCCATCCCTCAGAGTTGCATGAAGCGTTTTCCAAAATTCAAGAAGACTTGAATCGGATCAGTGCCTGGGCAAACTTAAATGGATTAAGGCTAAACTCTGCAAAAACTCAAGCCATTGTCATTGGTTCCAAACCCCTTCTAAGAGCCAATACCAACATACCTATACTGTACCTAAATGACCATCTCATTACCTTCACCTCCTCAGTAAAAAACCTAGGCATTTTCATAGACCAAACCCTATCCTGGAAACACCATATTGCTCACATTACCCGACAGTCAAATGGTACCTTGAAACTATTCCATCGCTTCCGCCATCTCCTACCCATCTCCACACGTAGACTCCTAGTAACTTCCCTCATCTTCCCCCACCTTGATTACGGCTGCGTGGTGTACGGTGGCCTCTCGGCCGAACTCGGGGAGAGACTGAAAAGAATTATGAATGCCTTCGTAAGATTTGTCACAGGGGCCCTGAGGTATTCCCGTGTTTCGCACCACTATGCTGAATTAGGATGGCTCTTCCCTTCCTTCCGAAGACAATATTTCCTAGGCACATTCCTTTACCAAATAATCAATAGTCATCGTCCGTCCTACGCATACAATCTCCTACAATTCAAATCATCTATCCACACCCTCTCCACAAGATCTCGTCCTTCTGACCTTTACACTCCTTTCCACAGATCTGCATCATTTAAACATTCCTTCGTTGTCCGTTCTACTGCATTCTGGAATTCCATCCCACTAAAAATCCGCCATGCATCATCCTTATCCACCTTTAAAACCCTCTTATTCCAATTCCTCTTCACAATCCAATCAGACGCTGGTTAAATACATACTATGTTATAAGGATTTAATTTTCTTTAGACATTATTTTTTTTCTCTTATTTTTTATTGTTTCACACGTGAATTTTCATCACCACTCACTAAGCATTGTGAGTAGATAAAATTTGTTTTTCTTAAGTTCTAATTTGTTATTCATGAAATGTATTTCAGTGAAAGGTATTTTATTTCTAATTATCTTCAACATACTTCTCGCTATGTGTATATGTATACTTTATTTTATTTTCTCTTCTCCTAATCTTTACGCATAAGTCACAAGGCCTTCTGCCACATATGTAACCTTTAGCTATCCCCAATCCTTAAAATGCCCTCGGGCAGTGGAAGGAATTTATTACATGTTTATATTGTATTATTGTATACTATATATGTAATTGTTTCAATAAACTTTTTGGAGGGTAAGAAAAAAAAAAAAAAAAAAAAAAAAAAAAAAAAAAAAAAATTTACGCATAATCACTTAAATATCTTAGGGAACATATGTATATCATTATTTGTTTTTTATATTTTTTTTGTTTTAGTTTTTACAATTTCTTTCCCTACATATTAACAGTTATTATTATTTTTTTAATTTTTATATTCCATCACTACAATGCTTTACCTATAAAATAGATTTTACTTTCCTTTCTAATTTTCATTCAGTGATTATTATGCAATTATTTTAGTTCCAATATTGTAGTACTGAACCCCTATTACCCAACTGTCCTCGTTAATTTATCCTAAGAGCTTAATTAATACTTAATGTATTACATGTATTTTGTTATTATTCATTGTAATAAGTCTTTTGACCAGATTTATAGTTAATATATATAAACAATACTGTTATTCTAAAGGGACCTAGTCCCAGAATAAAGATGATTTTTCTATTCTATTCTATTCTATAAAGCCTGAACGATTAATTTTATATATATAACGATAATTGCTATGGAATAAACCTAACTATCTATATGAAAGAGTATTTAAGTGATTCTCGAAGTCCTATTAAATCTAATTACAAGGATAATAATACTTTAAAAGAATATTTTTTCTATAAAACATGGATATATTTTACCAATTTGAGAGTGGCTTCAGCCCGAAAGCCCCTCTCTCTCTCTCCCCCTTTTTATTCCCCCTCCCTGTAGTTTCATCGGTGCAGCTAGACAAGCAAGTA